TGAATCAAATTTACTACTTTATACTCTAGTTTCCCCAGAACTTCTTTAAAGCCCTTCAATTGTCCCTAAAGGTCTTACACATATTTTGCTAAGGTTATTCCTAAATACTTTATAGTTATTCTAAATAGCTTTTAAAATTTTCTGATTGGTTGTTATTGGTACTTAGGAACATTATTTTTGTATATTGATCTTGTATCCAGCAACCTTTTAGGCCTTTCTAGTTCTAATAGTATATTCTCTTGGATTTTCTATGTAGACACAATCAATCATATCATCTGCTATTAAGGATAAATTTATCTCTTCCTTTCCTAATTATAATTCCTGTTCTTTTTCTTGTCTTCTTATACTAGCCAGGACTTCTAGCAAAATGTGGTATGGTGACATGTTTTCTAGTTTCTGACTTTAACATGAATGCTTCTAAGGTTTTATCATTCATTGAGCAAGATGTTTTAATTTTTATCAGGCTGAGGATGTTTCCTTCCGGTTTTTGTTTGCTAAAAGCTTTGTTCTATTTTCGTTTTTAAACCATGAATTAGATTGGATTTAGCGCATTTTTTCCCTGCATCTACTGTAATTTTTAGATGTTGATCACCAAAGAGGATAAGTCCTCTGTTATGATTTTATTTTAAGTATACAATAACATTCAATTTGCTATTACTTTAATTTGGATTCTTATTTGCTTGTTCATATCTAAGGTTGGTCTCAACTTTTTTTGTACTATCATCAAATTTTTGTATGAAAGCAATTGTAGCCTGAAAAATTAAAACTTCTCTGAATAAGCTCATATAAGAATCTCCTATAGAAGAGTTTGGGACTAATGTCTTTTTTTGAGGGGGTTGGGAGGAAGAACCAACTCATTTAATGACATTATAAAACACTAATTTTCCAGCTTCTTTATTAATGGTTACAAAGTAGTGCTAGGATTATATATTTTTATTGTCAGAGAATAAATCTCCAGAAACACAAAATTGTTTTTAAATTATATTTTTCATCTACTTATATCACTTATGAAATAAGCATATATGGAAAGCACTCCTAACAGTGTCTACCATCTATGTACTATTAGTAGTATCCTTTTCTCTTTCAGGTGGGGATTTTAATCATTTATGAATACCTAAAAAGTCTTAAGTCTTTATTTGGCTAAGGAAAGATCAAAGGGAAGAACTAATCATTTTTCCTTTTTTGACCTTTTGTAACTTAAAAGCTTAGTGTGAGCTAATTGTAAATCGGAAGTAATTTAAACAACTGTGTTAACTTAAAAACAAATGTCAGTATTTTATATTCAAGAATGGGTAAGTTAAAAATACACTTTTATCTGCAGTCTTTCTTCTTGAAATACTTGAGTAAAATAAATATTTCCTACAGAAATCAGTATGAAATCACCATTTCCACAATTATAGTTCTAACATCAAGCTAAAAAATTAATAGCTGGTCTAGCCTCAGTTCAATTGACAGGAAAATGTAGGTAGTCTGGAGTGTAATTGGAAACACACTGCCTTCCAAGGCCCTTCCTGTCCCACTGGGGATCCTTTTAAACCCTCCAGATACCTTCCCTGCTCCAATGCCCTGGTGGAGTCTTCTGGTTTCTTCTGCCAATTACTAAATGGCATTATAAATTTTTTAAATGACTTCTGTGAAATACCTAAGAAGTCTATCAGAATTGTTCACTTATCCAAACATTTTGTTTAGACATTTTAATGATGTGTTAGTTTTAATGTACTTACTTCATCAGTCCTCAAAGTTTTAACAATTGAATAATGAAAAAAAAAGCCACTACCCTTAAAGTAAAATTGAACATACCAGTACCCTACTTTCTAAGGGGTGGCTTGGGGCAAGGGTAAATAACAAAATCATAGGGGTGCTTTAGCATACAGGCTTTAGTCATGTCTAAAACATGAGTCAGGAAGTCAGACGGTGTATCAGGCACTGACCTCATAAACACAGTGTGGTCAGTTAAAAGGAAATTTCTTCATGTAAATCTAAATGACATCCTTCAGGAATCTTATTATCCATGGAAGAAATATAGAATCATAGCATTTTAGTGCTGGAAGAACCTTAGAAGTGGTCTAGTTTATGTGGCTCATTTTACAGACCGGGAAATGGAGGCTCAGGGTACTGAGATCTGCCTAAGGTGGCACAGCCCACAGCGCTGACGCCAGCACAAACACTCCCGACTGCCAATTCCTGGTCCAACTTACCTTCCCTTTCCACACGACTGCACAGGGTTACACACCAGGCAGATTGTTCGGGTTACAGCAGCTGCCTTTTGCATTATATTATACTCTAACACGCGTGAATACATGTATAAAAACATGGGTTGGAGTACATTTTAAGCTTTTCCTCTTCTAGTCCAGAGTGTCTAGAAGGGGCATTTTTACCTTTTATAAAAATTGTTAAATATTGATATGCTACAGACAGTCCAATTCATTATATAAATTGAAATGATCTTTTTAAAGCAAATTCTGATATTTTTACTCTTGCTTAGTGAACAAAGCCCTACAACCTGATAATTATGGTATTTTATTATTCCACTGACATTACTGAAACAAATTATTAATATGTCTGTGAAAATATTTTCTAATTTTTGCAGAAATAATAATTTCTAGAGTATTAATTTGATTTCACTTTTCTTGCTCAAACCTACTTCTATTAGTATATAACCAGAAATCTCTTCTATGTTCTAGACTACATAATTCATTTTAAAGCTAACAGAAAATAGAGTTTCAGGAATAAATGAGCAATAATTTATGGAGATAAACAGGTGGTCTAAATGAAAATATGATTTTTATTTTTAGTATCATTAGTTAACAGTCAATTTAAAGCACACCACCAATTCTTCAAATTAAAGAAAATGTAAGAGTACAGAAAACGATTCACATCAACCTGTACTAAGTCATACTTTTGGAGATGTCAAGGAGTTTTAAAAAAAACAAGCAGTAGAGTTCTAGCCTAGTTACCATGATGCAGAATTTTTCACCACTGTAAGAAGGACAATTAAGATTAAACTTTATTACTATTAAGCATTATAAGGAAATTGCAAAAACATACTGTTTTTATAGACATATATGCTGTTATAGTTACATGGATTAGATGTTTTTTCCCTCTTCAATTCAGTAAACATTTACTCAGCACCTATTACGTGTGTGGCCCTGTGCTATGCACTGAGGATACCAAAATAATTAACAGACCCTCCTTTCCCTCCAGAGAGTGACTTGCAATCTCTGGGAGAGGCAGACTTGTAAAAAATGGATCAAAATATAGTACCACACAGTAGTGGGAACAGCCATGACACAGAGGAGGGAGGGGAAAGGACTGTGTTAATCAAGTTAGCAACTGCATTTGGCTGAGTTTCTTCACACAGATCCTGGGAACCAAGCTTTCCATACAGTAGCGTAAAATGCCTTTCTGGTTTCTGGAGTGTTCTGATACTATTTTAACCCATTACAAAAGCTATGCATTTATTAACATGTACATGATTATGTGCAACACTTGAATAAAATCCTAAACATATGTGTATCCTATTCTGTGTTAGGTAATAGCCACATCCGAAAGACCAGCTACAAATTGTTTACGTGCATGAGGCTTTACAGAATGGCTGTGATAAACACATACGTGTCAAATGTATAGCCTAAAAGTTATTTTAGTTAAGAAAAACGAACACACTGACTTGAAATGTAAATAACATTCTAGGAAATTGGGTCAGATATTCTTTGTTACTGGCAAACAATGAAAATGGTTTACCTGCCATTATTTTAAGACAATTTTGATCCGGTCAACATTTCCTGGTTATTAACAAACATAGTATTGTCTAATCTGTCATAGTAGGACGGTTTTGTGAATTACCTTTCACTACAGGAACACGTGCATTGCCCTTAGGAGATGCTCATCTGAACATGGACCAAACTGGTGAGCCGGTGGAATCTGCGCCAAATTAGCTGGTTTACTTTGAACACACTGAATTTGGAAAATAAATCCCCCCTTTTTCCTCTTTAATCTTGTAGTGTTTTGCAATACATTTCATAGCACATGGACGGATCCCAGTGAAGCGAGGCACAGATCACAAATCGTCATCGCTCTGAATTCTTGGGTCATGAGAGCCATAATTCGCTGTTTGTATAGAATCATTTTACAATGGCACGTTTTGGAGACTCCTTGATAAAATAAAAACTGGAGTTCTAAAGCCCCAGTCACAAATGCTCAGGAGCCGCGAGCTCCACGTGGCGGGACGCAGTCTGCCCACTAGCGCGCGGGCTGGGCGGCAAAGCCAACGCAGCCGCGCGTCTGCAATTCCTCTCCCCGTCCGCTACGAGAGCGCTTACCGTAGACTGCTGGGAAGTGTTCTCCCACTTTTCCGTACATTCTCTGCACTTGAACACATCACGAAAAACGATAGGTCAAGAAATCGGGTCGTGGCACTAACCCCTACAGTGTTTCTTACAAAAAAGTTTCTTGAGAGAGTGCAGGCGAGCCCACGCCGCCCCTCAGCAAACCCAAGGCGGCCTCTGCGAGCGCGAAGCTGCGCGCCGCACCGTGGCGCCGCGCCCCCTGCGCCCGGGCCGCGGCGCCTGCAGGTATTCCGGCGTCCCTGGGGGCCCGCAGGCCTGCGGTCTGGGGCAGCCCTGCTCCCCTCCCGAGGGGGAAAACGCGCCCGGGAAAGCAGCTTCGGCCCGCCTTCCGCCATCCCTGGGGAGAGCCGGAAACCGGCGCTCTGCCGAGACCTCAGCCGCAGCGCCGGGGGAAGGTCAGCTAGTCCAAAAGTCTCAGAAAGGTTCCCGACGGCCCGGCTGCGCGGCCCTGCTGCATCCCTCAACTTTCCGAAAAGTCCCGAAAGGATCCAAGGGGCTGCGCGCTACACGCGCGCGCGCTGGGTCTCCCGGCCCGCGCGGCTCCAGCCCGCCGGAGCCGTCCCAGGAGGGTCGCGGCGCCGGCGACCGGCCCGTCCCCCGCCCCGCTGCCCTCGGCCCGGCGCCCGGCCTCCCGGGCACCCCAGCCCGCCTTACCCCGCTTTGCCGCGGCGGCGACCCTGGCACGCTCCCTCCGAGCGCGGCTCCCGACCGCTCTGAAAAGGAGAATTCCTTTCACACGTGCGGTGCAGCTTCACGCGTGCGCCCCGCGCCCGGGCCCCGACCTCCCCGCCCAGCCGCCATCCCCGCCGCCCCAGTGTGCGCCGCGCTCGGCGCCCCCACGCCGCGGCCCCGGCCGCCGCGCCACGCCCCCGCCGCCTCCGACCCAGCCCGGGCTCGCGCGGGGCGGCGCCAGGGCCAGCGCGCGCCCCCGCTCCGCACCCACGCCGCGCACCTGCGCCCCCGCCGCGCGCCCGCACCCACACTTCGCATTGGCATCCGCATCTGGCATCCGCCCCTCATTCCCTGACCAGCTTCCCACCGCACACGCGCACCCATACCAAGTACTGCATCCCACCAGGCACCCGCACCTGCTCCCGCACCTGCACCCATACTACGCACCCGTACCCCCACTCCGCACACTCACCCCGCGCGCACCCATGCCCCGTACCTACATTCTCACTCTGCACCTGCACCCATGCCACGCATCTGCACCCCCACACGCATCTGCATCCCCAGTCTGCATCCCGCACCTGCATCCCGCACCTGCACCCATACTACTCACCCGTATCCCCACTCCGCACCGTCATCCCGCGCGCACCCATGCCCCGCACCTACATTCCCACTCTGCACCTGCACCCATGCCACGCACCTCCAGCCCAAGTCTGCACCCACACCTGCATCCCGCACCTGCACCCATACTGCTCATCCGTACCCCCACTCCGCACCCTCATCCCGCGCGCACCCATGCCCCGCACCTACATTCCCACTCTGCACCTGCATCCCCACCCGCACCTCCATCCCAAGTCCGCACCCACACCTGCATCCCGCACCTTGCACCTGCGCGGGTGCTGGGGCTGCGGTGACCGGGGCTCTTCCTTGCCGCCCACACCCTCTCGGGCTCGCCGGCGCGGGGAGCGGGGAGCCGAGGGCAGGCGGCCCCGTCCAGTCCGCGCACGTGCGCCCGCCCCGCCAGCCTCGCGCCTGCCCCTGGCTCGGCTGGCCGGGCCGGGCAGCTACTCTGGGGCCCTCGCTGAGCCCGGGGGCGCGTGGGCGTCGGTGCATGTCCCCCCTGCCCTGGTGCCGGCCCCGGGGACGCGGGTGCTGGACCGCCAGCGCCGGGCCGGGACCACGGAGCCGGGAGTCCGGGCTCCGCCTGTGGAGGCCTCGCCAGAAGAGCCGCGGGCCGCGGGCGCTGTCAAGGAGCGGCGCCCGGCCGAGAGCGCGCTATAAATAGCGCCGCGAGCCTGCTTCCCGTCACACACACTTCATTTAGCCGGCAGTCGGACGGATTCTTCTTTTTTTTTTTTTTAAGAACTTGTTCCAATGCGCTTGAGACTTCGCCCAGCCTGAGGTGACGGGAAGGTGTCCCCGCGGGCCACTCGTTCCATCCGGCCCTGGCGGCGGGATGCCAGGGCGCGGCCTAAGCTGCTCGCAGGCGCCTGGGGAAGGTCTTAACGTTTTCTTTTCCTCTCAGAGGTGTTTTTACTCACTCTTGAAAGGGACTCCTACCACAAAGGCCACTGAGCAAGGACAGAATCCCGTCCCCGTCTATTGTCTCAGCTCAGTTTAGACAGGCTGGGGTTCCCTCTCTGCTCCCGGGGTCTAGCACCGGGCTTGGCTGGCAGAAGATATTTAATAAATATTGGTTGACTGAATTTTGGTGGCCATTCTAAAGCCAAAAATGTCAAAATTCCCTTTATGAGCGATAAATTTATTGCAGGAATGTGGCAAAGTTCCAGTCTCTGGTTACCAAGGGAGCAATGTCCGCTGGTCAACTTCATTAGAGCTTCGGGTCTGCTCTGCTTGCCCTAAAGAATTTTTTTGCTCTGTTGAGATCTGAATTGAAGATTACTCCAAGGAGAAAGAAAACTCAGCCTGTAAAGGCACATCTAAAATATCTCCCCCTTTGGAACCTGGAGGTGTATGTGTGTAGTAGGTAGTAGTTATGTAGATTCAGTGTTTTGTTTTTTTCTTTTTTCTTTTTCTTTTTTTTATATACAGAGACAGGATCTTGCTCTTGCTCAGGCTGGTCTCAAACTCCTGAGCTCAAACGATCCTCCCGCCTCAGCCTCCCAGAGTGCTAGGATTACAGGCGTGAGCCACCGCGCCTGGCCTAGTTTTTTGTTTTTAATTGAAAAATATTACTCTAGAAGGTCTTCAAATACTTTAATACTTTTCTTGTTTTTTATAATAATTCCCTCTGAGAAGCACAGGAATAGTTTCTGATTTTTTCTTGATCACAAAAGCACTAGAAATTCTTAATGCTACAAGTCTCTTTGCCAAACACTATTACTGGTATTCCAAGGATAAAAAATGGAAATATAATATTGTGATAATTTAAGCCTTTTCATTAAAAGTATAGATTTAAAATATTATGTAAGTGGAACAAACATTTGTACACCCATGTTCATAGCAGTGTTATTCACAAAAGCCGAAAGGTGTCTGTTGATGGACGAATGGATAAACGAAATGTGGTGCATACATATGATGGAATATTATTCAGCCTTGAAAAGGAAGGAAGTTCTGACACATGCTACGACGTGGACGAACTTGAGGACATTATGCTAAATGAAATAAGCCAGTTGCAAAAGTCACAAATACTATATGATTCCACATATATGCGGTACCTGGAGCAGTCAAAATCATGAGACAGAAAGCAGAAGTGTGGGTTACCAGGGCCTGGGGGTAGTGGGGAAGGGGAATTAGTGTTTAATGGGTATAGAATTTTAGTTTGGGAAGAT